ACATTCGATTTGCATTCGTAAAAGACGTTAAAGTATATCAAAACTCCAATATACCCAGTCAGGCAAGTGCGTATGACCTCACAATACAAGAGGTTTGCCTTCCTGCAGATTAATCTTTCAGCCCAAATGACTAAATGTTTCAGTTCTTCAGGCCAGGAGGAACGCTGTGCAGACGTTCCCCAGAACTTCTGGGGGGTAAATGTACTTAAGCGTGATGGCTGAAGATCATCCCACATGCAGAAACTGCATTTCCTATTAGCTCTCGGTGTTCAACTAGAACAAAGTGCATGGGGTGGGATTGACAGTACCAATCATTCCATTAATGCCCTATCAGCCAGTAGATTGGAGTATTGAGCAACACCTGAGGAAATGTTTAATAAAATCAGAGAAGGTTACTATGCCTATGTAAGTTAGGTCAGCATGTACTGTGTTACAATTACAATTATTTATTTATATAGCAGCTACCTCCTCATGTATCACATGCCCCTCCCTTTTAGATTGTAAGCCGTCAGGGGCAGGGCCCTCCTTATCTCTCTTGTTTTAAATTGTATTGTGATTGTAATGTCTTCCTTATATTGTAAAGTGCTGCACAAACTGTTGGCGCTATATAAATCCTGTATAATAATAATAAAGCGCCAACATATTCCGCAGCGCTGTTCAATCGTTTAGACAAGACAAGTAAGAAGCATTGACAAGCATCATTGATAGAGAAACAGTAGGTGAGGAGGACCCTGCCCAAATGAGCTTACAATCTAAGATGATCAGCTTATAGAGTAGGCGCTCCACTGCAAGCCTGATTTTAAATTTTAAAGGGGGGTGTTTAAACTCATGATTATGCTACCTGAAATGAAATAGAATATATATATGATCTGAGCTGTAGTACAAACTACATGACTGATCTAAAAGGTTCCTAATATTTGCCCGCACAACAGCAGACACAGCCCAGCAATCCCTGCCATAGACTTCAAACAAAAGCTTTCTTGATGGTCCTAAAATGTCACACAGTATCTTACAATGCTGATCTGATGAGATATGCAGATAATCCATTTTTCAACTTTTGCTTGAATTAGTTCTCTGTCTGCTGATTGAAGACCACGGCCACTGTTGCATAGATACAAGATAGATATAATTATTCTGAGCACAATGAAATTCTTGTTCCGTTTCAGCATTATCATGTTATTCCTCATGTGGATTCGAGTTGATAGATCAATAAATATCTGCAAGCCCATTTTACTAGACATGGAATGTCTATTTAGCTTTTTTGAAAGGAATTTGTCATGTGTAAAGCAAGACGGCATTGATGTGAAGCGGGAAAAAAAAAACTAATGCAGAAATGACTTTTATTTATTTTTTTACTTCATACTACCAAGTAATCGGCAGTGGATAAAACAGCATTTTTTGAATATTTTATTTACATTTCTGTTAATATGGGTAGAGGATCCTATAATAAGCTGAGGGCATATTACCTACATTAAGGATAAGATTAGTGCCAAGTTTCCACTGAGCAGGGAGATGGCTTACATTGTCCTGATATTACATTCTACAACATATGAGGGATTATGGCTAACCTTTCCATTGCTGACTGAATATTTGTTAAGACTGGCTTTATACCTAGGCATCATGGGAATGTGCAATTGTTGCATGTTACTGCAATGCATGGTAAGGTGCGTCCATCTGTACGGTGCACTGAAGCAGGGATCCCAACCTGAAAAAAGTAATTTCTGGGAGGTTCCCTTCTCATTTCAAGGAGGTGCCCTCTGCCCCCCCCTCCCCCCCCATTTGTATTTAGTATTGTTTAGTACAGCTGCTGCCGTCAGAATAAAGAAAAAAAACAATAACAACAGCATAGGGAAGAATAGCTAGATTGCTTTTGGCTATTTCAATTTGCAATAGACAATAGCAACCTCTGCTGATTGACTGCAGCAGTGGGCAGGTGCAATAGCTAGTCTGCTATTGGCTATAGCCAATTGCAATAGCCAATAGCAATCTAGGTATTCATTCCTATGCTTTTTTTTTCTCTGACTCCCGGCAGCCCTCGATGTCAGAAAGAACCCCAAAAAACCCAGACAGCAGTGAAAGGTTTACTCTGCTAGATAGAGCAGAGTAAACCTTTCCGGGAGAAAATGTCTCTCCCGGGTGGCCGGGAGCCGTTATCTAATAGCGGGAGACTCCCAGAACGTACGGGAGAGTTAGGATGCCTGTTGAAGTGCCATCCATTTATAATGGCACTCCAGTGCACAATGATCTTGGTACTTTTAGGTGCCAACAGACCTGCACTGAGGTGCACCACAATGCGCATGCTGTGCTTTGTAGTGTGCTGTGTTTAGTAAAGGTGCAGGTCCTGATTTGCTCCATTGGTATATGTTGGTATTGACATTATTCAAGCAACAAGAGGTTTTTCATATAAGCGGTAATACACTAAGGGCTACCGTTTTTTATTTACGACGTAGGAACGAAGTGTCTTTCAAGTACAAATCCCTTTTATCACCATGTGCTTAGTTGCCTCCATTTGTTGCAGCATAGTATGTTTTTTTATTAAAAGGACATATATCATATTTGTGGGTTTGTGCACAATAAGCATACCCATTAAAATACTAAATTGTTAAATAAATCTGCACCAAGGAAACGCCCTATTCTGAAAGTTTCTCCCTTCGTTTTTTTATAATGCATGAACAAAAATGTCACTAATAAACCTATGTTTACAGCTGAACTCCAGGATGAGATAACATTGTCTAAATCTAAGAGGCATGTGTGTTCTTACTACGTGTGCTCTTACTGTGTGTTTCTTCCACATCTGTGCAGTAATCCAGAGTGAGACATGGAGCTTCCTGTAATAAAGACCGGTCACTGCTGCTCTCTCTCCTTGTGCGTAGTGACTGGTCCTGTCTGTAGTGGGTGGAGTCTCCTGGGTCCCTCCCACAGCTCTGATCTCTGCATAGCCTATGTGCATAAGTTATGTTACTGCTACATTTAAAAGGCGATAATTAGGTTTACAAAGGCATGTGGTGCACACAAAGTGGATTTATGTCCTTCATGGTTATTGAGGAAAATATTTGAACCTTTTTGTGCCTGGAGTTCAGCTTTACAACACACAAACATGCACAAAACACAATGGGTATGTTTTTAATGGTTTCGCCCAGTGTATACCTAGGTGAACACCATTCACAGGGTATTACAGATGGAGCTAGAGGGGCATATGCATTTCCTGTGCTCCTCGGCACCATCTAGCTGATGTAATGGCACACGAATGGCGCTCGTCCAGTTATGCAATGGGTGAAGCTTTTATAAATCAGCCCCAATGTGTAACAGCTGCATACTGTATGTCAATGTAAAAGGATATGTAAATACAAGTCATCCAGTACAGAAAAGGTGCCATCTATACAAGCAAAATGTTCTTGCTTGTATGAAAATGTATGCATATGAACAAGAATACCTTAATCTAAACTGTTGGAAATAACCTTGAAAAATGTGCATTTCTCAACAAAATCAGTATGAAAGCTCATTCATACAGATCTCTGAACTGGCGTTTGGACAGTGTGACAAGAGAAAAGGACGGGATGAATTCAGTCCAAGGAGGGACAGATGGGAAGTATGTCATCCCTGTCAGGAAAGATACTTTAACAAAGCCTGTATCACCATGTCAGTGTGAGCCGCTATTGACAAAAGACTGTTTATTTAGGAAATTGTGCAGTTCTGTCCATCTGGTTCCCTATTACCAAATCCCTTTCTAACTAAAAATGTAGGATGACAAACAAAGTTGATCTGTAATTAGTGGAGGTGTCATAGCACAAGCTTCCAATCCCGATGTAGATGGGCTATAAACAGACATGTTGATTTTATCTGCAACCATGGTTTTAGGTAGCAATCGTTCCAAAGCAGTGCTAGCTCTGGACCAGAGAATATATGTGTATTATTAGGCACATTGACATACCAGGGAACCAGCACTGCTTTCAGGAAATGGGCACCCTCCAAAGACGGTTGGGAGCCCCAGCTGTGACTAGTAACAGGTTGCAGGTAGCTCCAAATGTCATAGAAGCCTTTGAACTGAAAAGATGCGTATATAAAACAGCCATCAGTGGTTTATGCAGAGCCAGTTAGCAGCCATTGGGCATGCTCATGGATGAATTTTACATAGGTCAGCTTGTCATTTTTGTTCCGTGGCCCTAGATGTACCTTTTAAAGACAGGTAGGCCATTTTCTTCCTTTGACTGGAAATGGGACAACATCTATGCACTGCATAGCAGAAAGCTTGAGATGTATGATAATCTGATTTATTGTAAAATATACTGTAAATAAATTCAAAGTGGACCAGTTACTTTGTAGTAAATGCTCCTACAGATTGCTATCAACAATAACATTCTTACAATAGGATGTGGGTAGAGGAACCTGCAGTGGGTGTGTTAATTTATTATTGTTTTTTTATATAGCGCCGACAATATACGTAGCGCTTTACATGCTGCACATTCACATCAGTCCCTGCCCACAAGGAGCTTACAATCTAAGGTCCCCATCTCACATGAATACATACAGGGTTCATTTAGACTGGAGCCAAATAAACTTCCAGCATGTCTTTGGGGTGTGGGAGGAAACCCATACAAACACAGGGAGAACATGCAAATTCCATGTAGATGGTGTCCTGACTGGGATTCGAACCAGGAACCCCCAGTGCTGCAAGGCAGAAGTGCTAAACACCATGGAATTCTGGGAACTCCAACAAATAGTTGAGCAAAAGTTGTTTCCAGATAACCAGAATGCCAACAAAAAGGTTGGGGTAGATTGGTTTACTATAGCAATACTTGGATAAAGCAATGAATCCCTATGTAGGTGTGTATTTCAAGGCTTCATTTTCAGTTCTGGCGGGAGTAAACCTTTAAACTCTACTTCTATCCTAGCAGCAGAAATTCCTAATCTCATTAGCTTGTAGTTGTTTATAAAAGGAAGGATGATACATGTTCCATAGCAGACTATGCAGTTAAAATCTTTTCTTTCCTCACTTCCAGGGGAGCATTCTCAGTGGTCAGAAGATGCGTGAAGCTCTGCACAGGGCATGAATATGCGGCAAAGATCATTAACACCAAGAAGTTGTCAGCACGAGGTGAGCACCTCATGAAACAAACAAATGAGCTCATGAAATTACACTTTGTTAATCTGCCAGAAATAATAATCTGAAAGAGCTCACATAAGTACTCCATGTATTTAAAGTAAATTTGTTCCCTGTTTTACATTGTTATCATTAATACTCCTTCCAGCAACATCCACCACAAGAAGCTTGCTATTACCTTTTACTATGACTTTTGCTATTACCTCGGCCAGAAAAGCCTCTTAGTTTTTTGCTTTCCCTATTTTCATAACTAAGTTCTATGACCTATGCTGTGCTTGAGGACCCACAGTGTAAAGCTGGCCATACACTCTATGGGTTTTCTTGTTCAGCGCCTGGGCTAAAGGAGAAAAAATGTTTGAATCCCCCATTTATGCTGAACAGTGTGGATGGCGGAACCTTCCCTGCTGGATCTTCTACTTTGGCAGCCACGGGCACCAGGAAGATTGGCTACATTCACTGTTTGGCCAATAATTTTCCACCCGGCTCCTTTGGCAAAATTTTATTGAAAAATAGACTTTTGTCAACCCGGTGGTGCAGCAGGGCCACCAACAGATCGAATTGTGGATGATTTATTATGAATTGGCCTAAATTCTATCTATGTATGGCCATCGTAAAGTGGAAATAAAGCTTCTCCCCAAAAATGTGCTGATTGCTAGGCTTTATATGGCAGAAGAAACTGTGTAAGCCTCTTTTGCCATAAAAGCTTTATTCTAACAGTCTGCAGTCTTGCACATGCGCACAGACCCAGCATGCTGACTTGAAGTACCTTCTGTATCCATGCGCGGGAGTTAGATCATTCGGGCCGGCCAATCAAGAGCATTGACATAAGTTTTTTCTGCCATCACCAAAAGGGCACATAGAAAAGGAAAGTAAAAGCTTTTTCCAGTCCTCTAGACATAAACCAATGCCAGGCACGGGTAGCCCCACTGCAAGGGAAAACTTTTAATTTCCTTGGAATTGGGCATTAGATGTAATAGAAGGCATCTTGTGTCTGCTCTTAGGTAAAGCAAACGTTTTGCTGTGCAGGGATTTAGCAAACATTTTTATACAGTTGTTTGTTTCCTCATGTTTTTTCTCAGACTTATTTCTGAATAAGAGGGTCAGCCTTCAATATGTCCAGCAGGTGCGATTTCTATATTCTGAACTAAAAAAGTTGCAGTACCATCACCTTTAGCTCTTGATGAGGATAGGCATAGAGCAGGGGTAGGCAACCTCAGCACTCTAGCTGTGGCAAAAATACAAATCCCATTATGCCTCTGGGTGTCCCGCCTGTGGCTATCAGAGCCTTTGCAATGCCTCATGGGACTTGTAGTGTCACCACAGCTGGGGTGCCCAGGTTGTCTACCCCTGGCATATAGAGTATCTCACCAAAAATGAATTTAAGGGGATGTCTGTGATTTGATTGTGCCAGAGTAAAGACTGGTGAGAAAATCAGAGAGTCAATCACGCTGACAAAAAAAAATCTTGCAACTATATTAACAGTATTGTTTGTGTAAGGACTTCCCATTCACCCGCTCATGTGATGGGCTCCTAGCATTTCCTAGAAGTCTGCATAGAGCTTGAAGTTATAGGTATCCTTTTAAATACTTGCTTGACCCTTCCATCTTCCCTCCCATTCCTATTGGCTAGCAACTGGCCAGGCTTAGGAACAAGCCCAACATTACCTAGAAGTGTAGGAGCTTAGGAGCTGTCCTTCTCAAAAGAGCCTGGTATTCCACCAGAACAGCGCAAGGTGGTGCTCACCCCTGAATATTAACTAGGGCTCTCCTACCTGTTTTGCCAGCCACCGGCCCTTTTCTCAGCTCCAGCATATATTCCAATACCACTACTTACTAGAAAAAAGGATGATTGGTAACATTTCCCATGCCTCATTCTTCTATTGGGTTTCCTGTTTCATATTTTATTAGCATCCTGCCATTTGGCATACATGATGGTACTTAAAGCTGACTTGAAATTGATTTAATC